CCTCTATTTGTATCTAAACTTTCTTTACGTGGATATTCTGATGGAAGTGTAATCTTAATGTCAAAGGAAGGAAACTTATTCTCAGTCTAAAAAGTAAAAAATATAATTTAAAATCCCCCCAAAAGAGCAGAAATACAGTGTGTGTGTTCATAATCTCTTACCCATTCAGGATCTGTTGGACTGAATTTGATAACATATGCACAACTATCAGGGCTCTTCTCCACCAGCTGGTGCTGGTCCCCATAATAACGTTTGGTAAGTTGCTTTATCTCAATATCCCAAAGAGACTGAAGAGGAACTGATGAATCCACTGCTCTCTTAGGATGTGGTACAGGAGCTCTAGCAACAGGAGCAGAAACAGGACCAGCCTTCCCTTGACTGAATGCATCTAATGTTAATGGCTCGGCCTTCCTCCCTGTGTCGTCCGACTGCCTGTGGTCTTTGGTTCTCTCTACAGGTGGGGCTGATGACTGCTGGTGGGTACTAATAGTAGGAGGAGTCTGGTATGAAGGGGCTTTGGTCTTTGATAGAGATGAGGAAATGCTAGGGAAAGACATTGTGTTTAATAAAGTAATTGAATCATCTCTTGAATCATCATCATCAGTCCTACTAGCAGGAGGAGGAGAAGTAGGCGGAGTTAAATCATCGTCTCTCGGAGGATGAAGGAACTTACACTGGTCCCCATAGCGACAGTTTGAGGCCAGGAAATGTCAGCAAACTTGTTTAGTGGGTTGAGGGTGTCGGTAGCGACAACGACTGCCATAGGAACAGGATCCTTTATTGATGTACTCCCTGCATAATGGAGGAACTCGTTTATTATTACCGGTCCTTGAAGAGGATATGGTTTTAGTTCCTTTTTTATTATTAGAAGCTGCTTCTTGCTTGCTTTCTTTATTAATTTACCACTAGAGTCTTCTCCTGCATCACCATGGTGAAGAACTACTCATAATATGAATACAAAGAACTTCTTGAGAGTGAGGATCGGCGGGTCCATTATGAAGATGTTTGAGAGGAAACCTTACTTATTTTTTATTGGTGTAAATCGTGTAATGGAGCCATGCTTCTTCCTTGCTCCACAGCCTCCGGGCAATTTGGGGGCATGGCCGGGGGATCTCCTTTAATTTCTATGCATTTAG